ACAGACGCCGGAGGCTGCGGTATGACATAAGCTCACCATGGTCAAAAAGGTAGCTGGTCGGTTCAGAAGGTAAGCGTTTTTTTTAAGAAATTATTCATTAAAGCTATAAATGCAGAAAAAAAAGTTTCCAAAGCATTGCTACAGTTTTGGGCAGTGGTATGAGGATGCTTGGTTTGTATGTATTTCAAATATATACCGGTAAGAGAAAACAGAAGTCATTCATAATTACATAGACATTTTATTAGCAACAATAGTACGACTTGTAATTAGACTCTGAATGACACATTGACCTATTGGCACTTAATGGTGTTGTCATTGCTCCGACAGGGTAGTACAGTAGATACTGTACAGTTGCCAATTCTCGCAGGCACATGAGTTTATAAATCTTTAATTAGAACTTTCCCTTATAAGAGTAAATAAAAGATTTTTTGAAAATGTCAGTTTATTTCATTATATGTATGTCTCTTTTTATTATTTTAATATTTTCTTGTCAGTAACTTGATCTATTTTTTTCAGAACAATTGAAAAAAACACCAATTCAGATATTGACCTGAAAGGCATTCCTCAGCTATTGCCCGGGCACGTACCAGTTGTGACCTAGTTCTGACCTACCAGTTGTGACCTAGTTGTGACCTACCAGTTGTGACCTAGTTGTGACCTACCAGTTGTGACCTAGTTCTGACCTACCAGTTGTGGAACTTCTTTTTACCACAATTGTTCATGATTTCACAAGTGTTCAGATCACTATGTAACAAATGTTTGAGGTTAACTGCTTTGCAAACATAAAACAGCTATCAATCAAGTAATGTATAAATATTCTAGTATTGTATGATTTTAATCTATTCTGATTAGTGGTCGTCAAGCTATTCACTTGTAAAATCTAAGTGATTGTCTGTTTTGTTAATTGACTGGTTGATTGACCAATTCTTCTTGTTTAATTGATGGCTTGAGAACTGGGCAATGTGGTAGAAATGTCTTCAGATTTATCGAAAGCATTGAAATATTATAATATGCAAATTTATAAAATTACATTCCTTCAAAAATTAGCAACTGTACAGTAATCAGTGTAGGTAGCATTCTGTTTACAATGTCCTCTGGAGAAAAAATAATGATATGTGCTAGTCCCAAATATTGTTTGTTTCCATGTAAGAATCACATGATTAAGTTTAGATAATATATACATATTATTATGATACATGTACAAGCTTTTTCTGTTACATTGACAATTTCACTCAAAATAACAGCAAACCTACTTTCTGGGACATAATCTTTTATCTCAAGATGAAGTCCTCTGTTCCATTATGAGCAAGAAGAGTACTGCGGGGCGGAACAATATATGACTGTCGAATGCCATTTAGTGTTATATACTTTCTTAAATTGAAATAAGATCTGGTTCATTCTAAGAGTGGTTAGCTGACATGCTATAAAAAATGTAGGAGAAAATCTCCGGACAAAAAATCAAATGATTATTTAGCCTACTAAGTTTCAAAGAGATCGGTCGAAAAATATAGGAGGAGATTGCTGGACAAACAAAAGTTTACGCCAGACAGACAGACAACCCCATACAATAATACTAATGTCAAAAATCTGTCTCAATTTTTCTAATTTAACTCTAATCAAACCATTTTTTTCCTTCACTTTTTTGCGTACATTGTTAAAATGGGGATAATTTACAGTTATGTTATAATTTGTTTTGTTGTCTGATGAAATATATCCACCTGTAAATATATTTGCCCAAATTCAATCAGTATAAAATTTACAGCATTACAATATTGCCACTTCAACACTTCAAGAGACTTCACAGAAACTATGACCTTAATATCCACCTACACACTAAAAAGTTCTGAGTGACATGCTAAATATTCAGTTTTCACTTGCGTTTTAGTTTAAAATTGTTCATGCCCATTTTTCATTCAGCTTACAATAAATGTACAAGTATGGTTAGGGGGTAAGAAACCTAACTATGAGCTTTTAGTTCTTCTAGTTACTTTTAATTATTCAAACACATGGCATTTCAGTTAAAATTACCTGGTAACTACAAAAATATATGATTACATGTATATGATTTGAAATCACCTTTAAAACAAGCTAAAAGAATACTGTTCTGATGGAGACTATGACACTGCAGTTTATAGATCAAATCTAGAATACCAATACATTTGTTACTTTACAGACTGTTTCAGCAATTGGGAACCGTCAGCATAGTATTTTCTTGTTTACGGAGAGTGTCAACGGTTCCCTATTGACTGTTTCAGTAGTGAAACTTTAGCTTCAAGGAGATTTTAATGTTATTTTAACAACACTGTAGACCAAAGTAAACCAAATTATTATTATCTGAACAACTTATTCAGATTGACAAATCATCAAATAACAAGCAATAACATCAAGATATTTGATAACGAATTAGAAAGTCTTTGTCTTAACAATTATCTAAACAAAAGCCTTTAAAAATAACAAAGTTTACAAAACTTAGACTTCTATTCAATATCAACATAACTAAAGTATTATTGTATGTTATAGTATTGTCATAAATTACACTTAACTCAAACTATGTTTACAGTATAAACAAGACTTAATCAATATAACCTGTCTGAACTCACTTCTGTAAGATTGTTATATACCCTACTACAAATAGGTCCCGCTCCATACATTAAAAAACATATGTCTCGCTCCATACATTAATTACCCTATGTACCCCTCCATACATTAATTAACCTGTGTCCCCCTCCATACATTAATTAACCTATGTCCCGCTCCATACATTAATTAACCTATGTCCCGCTCCATACATTAAGTAACCTATGTCCCCCTCCATACATTAATTAACCTATGTCCCGCTCCATACATTAATTAACCCATGTCCCGCTCCATACATTAATTAACATATGTCCCCCTCCATACATTAATTAATCTTTGTCCCCCTCCATACATTAATTAACCCATGTCCCTCTCCATACATTAATTAACCCATGTCCTCCTCCATACATTAATTAACCTATGTCCCACTCCATACATTAATTAACCTATGTCCCCCTCCATACATTAAGTAACCCATGTCCCGCTCCATACATTAATTAACCTATGTCCCCCTCCATACATTAATTAACCTATGTCCCGCTCCATACATTAATTAACCTATGTCCCGCTCCATACATTAATTAACCTATGTCCCGCTCCATACATTAATTAACCCATGTCCCGCTCCATACATTAAGTAACCTATGTCCCGCTCCATACATTAAGTAACCCATTTCCTGATATTGGTCAGAGTAGGTTAATATGGCCCTGACAGGTAAGTTCTTTCAGGCCGTGTTCTCGGACATGTTTCACTGTACCCACAGGTTTCAAACATGACCAGATAGTCAGATACCCTGGTGTTTTTCATGACTTCAGAAAGCATAGTTTGTGTACCAGCGATATAATGTTCAAAGCACCAACCATATAAAAATAATCAATCATTGGTCGTTCCAATATTTCACAAAAATACAAAAAAACACTTTGCACATGATTTAAATTTCTTTTAAATCACATATATTTGGACTAAATAAGCAAGGATTCTGAAGAATTAGTACAACTGGAAATAAAAAAAAACTTGAATGTTAAACAATTTTAACAAACAAATCAATACATAGCGACATATTATCTCTAGACTATGGTACATTTAGGCTCCCTATCATTTCACCTCTTAATGGATGTACTTTTATAAGAATATAGAATATTCCTGGACTGAAGTACAGTTTTTATTATTTTGAAACTGCTACATCCAAACGAATGCTGGAGATAACAACGAATGCACTTAAATGTGCATAGGAATCAAATTTAAAAAGTATTATTACATGTAACAAGATTTGCCTGTACTACATGTACCTGGTAATTCAACAATGTAACTGGTTTCTACAGACAATAATTTTTGATACATGTAATGAAGACTTTCTTTATATGCATGTCCGTATACATGTATATGTGTGATGCACGTTTCACTAGCTATATATTGATCAAATACTTGAGTAGCTAGAGATTCCTCGTCACAGAAATAACTCTCCTGACCTAATGCTAACTTTGTAATGCATGTTACAGTAAATATATAGATAAGGCTTCTTGTATCTGACTATCTAGCTGTTGCCAACAAGAGGCCCAGAGGGCCTGTATCGCTCACCTGGATATCTAAGCAATCATGGGAAAATATTCTCCAAATGAGATCCAAGGGAATATGCCAAACCCCAAGGCCAATCCTTGTAGCATATCTGTATTTGATTATTTATGCCCAGCAATTTTATGTATGGTTATGGGGTGGGGATCTCAACTGTTTCCAAGCTGTGACTCAGAAACTAGATCCCTAGGGTTGTGGCCAGACCCCAGGATCAATTCTAATATCATGACTTGCATTTGTCTCTTTTTGCCCAGCATTTGTATATATAGTTTTGGGTTGGGGATCTCAACCGTTTCAAAGTTATGACCCAGGGGTTATGTCTGCAAGGATGGGGCAGACCCTAGGGTCAATTCTAATATCATGACTGCATTCGTCTCTTTATGCCCAACAATTGTATATATAGTTTTGGGGTGGGGATCTTAACCGTTTCAAAGTTATGACCCAGGGGTTAAGTCTCCAAGGGTCGGGCCAGACNGGGGGGTCAGCCCCACCATTTGTACAATTTTGAATCCCTGCCTCCCATGAATGCTTCTGATTAAATATGATTGATATCCAGTGCATAGTTCTACAGAAGAAGTCGTTTGTAGCAATATAGCCAAAATGCCCCCTTTTGGCCCCGCCCCTCAGCCCCCTGGGGAGTCAGCCCAACCATTTGTACAATTTTGAATCCACACCACCTAGAGGAGATGTCGCTTAAAGCAATATAGCCAAATTGCCCACTTTTTGCCACACCCCTCAGCCCCACCATTTGTACAATTTTGAATCCCCACCACCTAGGGATGCTTCCAGTCAAATTTAATTAAATTCCAATCAGTGGTTAAAAAGAAGAAGTCGTTTAAAGAAATTGTTGACGGACTGACGACGGACGCCACGGTATGGAATAAGCTCACCTTGGTCCTTCGGACCCGGTGAGCTAATAAAAAACAATAGCTCTACAATAGGTGGACAGTGGTTCAAGTTACTGTACACGTCTAGAACAGCTATATAAACATGGCTTGTACTTTAAACAAAGGACTATGTATTAAGCTATTCTTTGTACGATCGTTAGTATCAGACAAATAACAAACAACTGGCAAGAAGTAATGGCAGAAATACCAACCAAGCAAGCACTTAAACCTGTGTTTGCCAGTGGGAGACTAGTGATTTGATACCTTGGAGACCATCTCAAGGGAAAGCATTTTAAAATCTAGATTAAGGATTGAACTTAAACATAGGACAGTCAATGCATTGCATTTCTTTCTGTCTTCATCTCACAGGAAGAATGTATCCCCTCCTCTCCTCTCTCATAAGAAACAACAAGTACAGATTCACTCTACTTTCTTTGAATTTTTCTTGAAGTTAATTTGCAATCCATCAAAACACTGCACAAGAAATCAATGTATTAACATCAATGTTTATGTTAGAAATTGTTAACATTTAAAACGTCATTGTAAACAGAATCAAACTTGAATAAATGGACAACACAATTCTGATTATAACTATAAATACTCTGAATTCCTCAACTCTGTTCTTGTAGTATTGGTAAGCTAACAAAACAACTTTGGAAAAAAAAATGTCCACAACACTCTAGTTTAATACAAATTAAAAGTTCTTTGAAACCATACTTATCCAGACTTTTTTTTAACGGAAATAAATGGAAATAAGTTGTTTTCTTTTCAATCTGAAGACAGCTATCATTTGAAACTGTGAAATACATAAAAGTAAATTTACTTTAAAAAATTGGATTTTAACTTGAACTTGGTAAATTAGAAGATAGTTAGAGCACATTTAACTGCATTTGAGCTTAGAATAGTTTTATGAATGTAGGACCAAGCCCTGATCAAAGTATCCTGGTACAACACAGGTAGAGTGATGAGACAGTTTAACAGTAGAAACAATCAAAGGCAGTAATTTATTAATAAACTTTAATTCAAACATAATCACCAGGGTCCAGTCAAAGCCATCTCATTCATTCTAAACTTTAAATGACTAATTTCTTAGTATCTTAAAAACATTTATCTTTATCTCATCCTCAGATGTTCATTTTAGATCTATTTACATGCAGTTTTGACAAATACATTTGAGCCCCATAAATCCTGGCATAGGTTGCATTGTTCTATTTAATTATCAAGCCAATTTTATGTTTCTTCTCAAATAAGTCCAGTAATATGACAATCGTGTTTAGAAGGAAGGGAAGTTGGTTGGACTAATACTAGCCTGTTGTAAGCTGATCAGACTTTGACTGGACCCAGGAATAAATAATTTAACATACTGGTACCAATATTAACACAAAACCGAGACGGAATCACATACATATTGCTGTATCAGCTGTGTTTTATGCATGGAAGATAATATAAATAAACACCGGTAGCAACGAATGCTAAGTACCAATAATAGTTTGACTTGAACTATTGTATATAAATAAAAAATCAACAATGTGTGGCTATACAGTGTACACGGTAATAAGCAATAACATACCTAGTGATATAAACTTCTCCTGAGTTACATATCCAGGCAAAATAAGCAGAACATCCTTTTTTCAGTAACAATAAGCATAAAAAAAAATCTAAGAGTATCTGTAATTTTTACAGGAAAAAGCTCTTTTTTGAATTAGCACATTGTATCTAACTGCACAATAGAAGTTTCATTGGAGAATGTACAACTAAAGATAAATTGACATGTGATAAATAGGCTGTACCAATTTTTCAACAACGAAATGCAAGACGAACTGATGACTATCCGGGAAAATAGGCTGTACCCATGTACATATTGTACTATAGGCTGTACCCATGTACATATTGTACTATGCATTACTTTGTACACAAGAGGTTGTATTGATTATTGTTAAGCTATCCTGTTACAGGGAAAACTCCACTAAAATATCTTTACATGTGGAAGAAGCTTGTATTTATGACAATTTGATAGTTTTGATGACATACAGACTCCAGGGACAGAAACTACACAATACACTATATCAAAGAGCTACCTCTTAATCTTACATTAAGTACAAGTGATCTTCACTTCTCTTCTATGTTTTTCTTTATTTTTTCTTCTTGAACAATAGTGGGTTTTTTATGATTATAAGACAAATAATGGATAACAATATGTTTCTGTAGCATATTTTGGAATTAAAAATATTAGAAAAGAAGGGCAACTCAAAGTGGGGTTTATTTATAAGTCATGTTCATATACCTAGCTGGTAAGTTACTTAAATTATTTGAGATCTGAAGAATATCCCTATTAATGCTGCGTTATCCACGACACCTTGTCCTTAGAAAGGGGATACAATGGGCACAGGGCGTTTTTAGTATTTCACCCATATCCTGAACAGACTTCAGGTAAAACCCTCATCTACAGAATCTGTTTAGCAAGGGGGTGGGCTTATTACTGAACATGGATATCTCCCTGGTGAAATATTTTGAGCTGTACAACCACAATTTGTGTTATTTTTCACCTACAACATTGCTTTTGTTTTTAAGTTCACTGTATCACAAAAACGAAATTTAAAGGTTGAAAGCAATACCTTGTCATATTGTATTACTGTCAGAAGGCTCTGGTGTATAATTGCTATAATTTACATAACCAAGCTAAACTGTATAGCCTGAGCATGGAAACAGTGAGACAGGATAGGGGGGAATCAATAGAAATCAATACATTTGGTGTTCTGTACATTTATTTTAATGACAAAACCTACAATTATCTGCTATACCCAATCTGGACCTATATGTCAACTCAAACATCACAGCTGACCAAATTAATTATTTATTTCATTTCATTTCCTTATCAATAGCATTCAAGTTACAAAACACAGCAGTAATCTGACTAAAATTGATTATTTTAACTTTTGACAGAGACGGTGGGAATCCTAACCAATTATTTATCAAGTACATGTGTCTACCTTACACATTTATATCAATGCTTTAACAGTATTTTACAGGTTTAATTGGCCTAGATTTTAATTGTTACTTTTGTATAAAAAATGTTGGGTGTAATGCTTTACCAGTTCTGTAGTTACATAGTAAAATAAATTGTGTATATCACAACATAATGATGAAATCACAAAATGTATCCTATTCAGCTAAGTATGAAAATACACTATTTCTATGGTGTCTGTAATGCTATCTTCAGTTCTGATGTTGGACACACTAACACTTTACAGAGAAGTAAGCAGTTATGTACAGCCAAGCATATGTGTTTGTTTATTGTGTTGCTTTTTACAGCCCATTGACAAGTTAGGTCATTTAGAGCCAAGGTGCATAATCAACTAAACACTATCTATATAGGAAATGTGTAAAAGTACAAGTCTGGTCCTTCAAAAGAAACTTTGTGTAGGGGGGTCATGAGTGGCCCTTCTACAATAGTTTTGTATACATGTACATATAGATGGTGCATGTGAAACCCTTCAACAATAGTTTTGTATACATGCACATATAGATGGTACATGTGAAACCCTTCAACAATAGTTTTGTATACATGTACATATAGATGGTACATGTGAAACCCTTCAATAATAGTTTTGTATACATGTAGATAGATGGTACATGTGAAACCCTTCAACAATAGTTTTGTGTATGGGGTACTATGAATGTTCTCAAACAGGTTTTGTGAAACTAGTACATGTCTGGCCCTTCAAAAATAGTCTGTGAACAGGGTGTATGAAGGGACTTAAACAATTGTACTGGGTACATGTAGGGCTCTTTAACAGCTTTGTGAACTGTGTTCCCTAGGTATGGTTGTTCAACAATAACTTGGTATGCTGTGTTCATGTATGGCACTATGACCCTTCAACACAAGATTTTTGTACAGTGTTTGTGTATGGTCCTTTAACATAAGGGTTGTGTACAGTGTTTGTGTATGGTAAATCAACATAAGAGTTGTGTACAATGTTTGTGTATGGTAAAACAACATAAGAGTTGTGTACAGTGTTCGTGTATGGTAAAACAACATAAGAGTTGTGTACAGTGTTTGTGTATGTTAAAACAACATAAGAGTTGTGTACAGTGTTTGTGTATGGCAAAACAACATAAGAATTGTGTACAGTGTTTGTGTATGGTAAATCAACATAAGAGTTGTGTACCGTGTTTGTGTATGGTAAAACAACATAAGAGTTGTGTACAGGGTTCGTGTATGGTAAAACAACATAAGAGTTGTGTACAGGGTTCGTGTATGGTAAAACAACATAAGAGTTGTGTACAGGGTTCGTGTATGGTAAAACAACATAAGAGTTGTGTACAGTGTTTGTGTATGGTAAAACAACATAAGAATTGTGTACAGTGTTTGTGTATGGTAGATCAACATAAGAGTTGTGTACAGTGTTTGTGTATGGTAAAACAATATAAGAGTTGTGTACAGTGTTTGGGTATGGTAAAACAACATAAGAGTTATGCAGTGATTGTGTATGGTCCTTCAACATAAGAGTTGTGTAGTGTTCATATATGGCTCTCCAACAAAAATTTGAATTTGTGTATAGTGTAGTAAGTGTTTTCAGCTTAACAAAGAAGATTGGAAGTACGGCCCATCATCAAAAGTAGCACCAACAACGTCACATTTTTAATTTGACAATAATGGGATATGGCAATATTGAAATACATTCATATGTTATCAAATTATCAAGTTGTTTCAGTAATTCATCATACAAAATTAATCTATAATACATCTCATTCAGTATCATTGTTGGGATCAAGCTGTACTTTTAATGTCATTATAAGCAGAAATTAGATTTATTTGTAGGATTGTCTAAACATTGTTATTGTGTAACAGATATTCCGTTAATTCCTAACTTGAATTAAAACACACTTGTAAACACAAGCAAAATAGACAGGTAAAAAGTTAAAGTACTACCCCGGTACATTATTGGATCACCCATGATATTATCATATAATAGTAAGGACACATACAATGTATAGCAAAATAAATATTAATATTTTTGTCTTTTCTTTCACTCAGATTTAACTTTGAAATCTTTATGTATGTTTGATTGTGATGACATAAACATGATTTGCAAAAGGAAGCATTATGGTACACAAAATTTAATCTTTTAAAATGTATAAGCATACCACTATAAACTTGATGTACAGCAATAAATTACAGATATAAACATATACAGAAATGTTACTAAAAAACAATATTGCACAATATTGCATACCCACATAACATAGTTTGTGTAGGTTAATGCTGACTCCGTTTCTTAGTGGGAACTACAGATTTCCGCTCAGGCCGGGAGGGTCTACACCGCTGGGAGTGTATGTGGTAAATGTTGGCACCTCAAGGTCATCCAAATTGGGGTATACAAATGTCCTCTGTTGGGAGACAGAAATGGGGATATTTACAGGTAAATTTAGCAGATAGGTATAAATCAATATTTGTATTTTATGCATCCTACTAAATAAGATATATTTATACCATAAAATGTTGAATATCTAAAATTTCATACATTTACCCAGTAAAATATAATAAGCCTCTAATTATTCAACACACAAAGTAGACAGGACACTATCTAGTACATCAGCTAAACACCACAATCCTTTAGAGGCCATCATACAGGATAACTGATAGTACATCAGCTAAACACCACAATCCTTTAGAGGCCATCATACAGGATAACTGATTTGACTAGTACTGTGCGTAGCAACATTTAAAAGGCACTTTTAGATATTATATTTCTTTTTGCTGCAAAGAGCAAATGGTGACAGAATCAATATTTCTGCAGATCAGTAATCCTACACCCACTGACCTTCAGAATTCCACTTTACAATCTGATGGAAATCATCTGTTACACAGCTTCGTTTAGAAATATCATGAACATTCAGGCATAAAGCCATATAACGGATGATTTTAATCAGATTGTCAATTTTTTAATTTATAGCATCATGATTAAGTAACATTCATGCATTCCAATTTTATAACTTTATCTCTTTTGGTTGTTCAAGGAGTTTTGAGACAAAATTACAAAATATGGAAAGAAAGACCAAAAAAAAATCCATCTTATTCTTTGAGTTGTAAATTTTGTGAAAACAACATATGTTTCTTGCCTCTGTCATTGTTCTCAAACAAGAAAATCTGTAACACATTATGTCACCGCGCCCTCATGCACACAAAGACAGTAACACAGTATAATAACAATGGAAGTCTCTAACAAACAAGAACTGTCACAGGGTAAGTCACCACTCTAAAATAACCAAATTCTATATCACAGTATGATGTCACTGCCCTCAAAAAAAGACCAACTTTAACACAATAGAATGCAACCTTCAAGAGAACAAGAATTGGAAACACAAGATAATGTCATTACTCTCAAGCAAACAAGGACTGTAACACAGTATAATGTGTATATACTCAATCAAATAAGGACTGTAACACAGTATAATGTCTATATACTCAAGCAAACAAGGACTGTTACACAGTATAATGTCTATATACTCAATCAAACAAGGACTGTAACACAGTATAATGTTTATATACTCAAGCAAACAAGGACTGTTACACAGTATAATGTGTATATACTCAAGCAAACAAGGACTGTAACACAGTATAATGTCTATATACTCAAGCAATCAAACAAGGACTGTAACACAGTATAATGTCTATATACTCAAGCAAACAAGGACTGTAACACAGTATAATGTATATAAACTCAAGCAAACATGGACTGTTACACAGTATAATGTCTATAAACTCAAGCAAACAAGGACTGTAACACAGTATAATGTCTATATACTCAAGCAAACAAGGACTGTAACACAGTATAATGCCTATATACTCAAGCAAACAAGGACTGTAACGCAGTATAATGTCTATAAACTCAAGCAAACAAGGACTGTAACACAGTATAATGTTTATATACTGAAGCAAACAAACAAGGACTGTTACACAGTATAATGTATATATACTCAAGCAAACAAGGACTGTAACACAGTATAATGTCTATTTACTCAAGCAAACAAGGACTAGCTGTCACACAATATAATGTCAACAATCTCAATAAAATAATTGTCTATAATATCAAGTAAACAAGAATTGTCACACAGTATAGTGTCAATACTCTAAGTAAACAATGATGTGACATAGTATAATGTCAACACTCTGAAGTTAGCAGGGACTGTCACATGGTATAATGTCAATACTCCTAAGTAAACAGGGACTGTCACATGGGATAATGTCAATACTCTTAAGTAAACAGGGGCTGTCACATGGTATAATGACAATACTCTTAAGTAAACAGGGACTTTCACATGGTATAATGTCAATACTCTTAAGAAAACAGGGACTGTCACATGGTATAATGTCAATACTCCTAAGTAAACAGGGACTGTCACATGGGATAATGTCAATACTCTTAAGTAAACAGGGGCTGTCACATGGTATAATGTCAATACTCCTAAGTAAACAGGGACTGTCACATGGTATAAGGTCAATACTCTTAAGTAAACAGGGACTTTCACATGGTATAATGTCAATACTCTTAAGAAAACAGGGACTGTCACATGGTATAAGGTCAATACTCTTAAGTAAACAGGGACTGGCACATGGTATAATGTCAATACTCTTAAGTAAACAGGGGCTGTCACATGGTATAATGTCAATACTCTTAAGAAAACAGGGACTGTCACATGGTATAATGTCAATATTTTTAAGTAAACAGGGACTGTCACATGGTATAAGGTCAATACTCTTAAGTAAACAGGGACTGACACATGGTATAATGTCAATACTCTTAAGAAAACAGGGACTGTCACATGGTATAATGTCAATATTTTTAAGTAAACAGGGACTGTCACATGGGATAATGTCAATACTCTTAAGTAAACAGGGACTGGCACATGGTATAATGTCAATACTCTTAAGTAAACAGGGGCTGTCACATGGTATAATGTCAATACTCCTAAGTAAACAGGGACTGTCACATGGGATAATGTCAATACTCTTAAGTAAACAGGGACTTTCACATGGTATAATGTCAATACTCTTAAGGAAACAGGGACTGTCACATGGTATAAGGTCAATACTCTTAAGTAAACAGGGACTGTCACACGGTATAATGTCAATACTCTTAAGAAAACAGGGACTGTCACATGGTATAAGGTCAATACTCTTAAGTAAACAGGGACTTTCACATGGTATAATGTCAATACTCTTAAGGAAACAGGGACTGTCACATGGTATAATGACAATACTCTTAAGTAAACAGGGACTGTCACATGGTATAATGTCAATACTCCTAAGTAAACAGGGACTGTCATCAAGTAGACGAAGGGGGAGGTGGGGGCAAATTTTTACTTAGAATCAAAATTATGTTTTGAAAAGAAACCATTTAAATTTAGACGAACTGTGAAAACTGTACCAATTTGGGTAGTGCCACATTCAATCATATTGGAATTTTTCATGAATATCTTGAGTTTATTACTGTACTTGCAAAAGCAACATAATAAACATTGAAAAGTTGAACCAGTGTTGTTGGCTAAGAAAACTCTAAACTTCTGAGCCAGATGGAGAGCATGGCAATATGGAGACTGCCACGTTGTCAGGACTTATCAAAATGGGAACTATAAGATCATCCATGTTGGGCATCACAAGGACGCACTGGGAAAGTGCTGACTACTATTTTAAATAGAAAACTTCTGAAGTACAAGTACTGAACTTTGGCACATTTCATCGCTGTGACCTTGAATGAATTCAGGTGAAGGTACTTTATTTTAACAGAGTTGATAGATATTCGCCCAAGTAAACTACAGGCCAAACATCAAGAATCTACGCCTTATGAGCATGATGAGTTTTTGGAATATTTTACCAATATGACCCATGTGACCTTTAATATGGGTCAAAGTCATATATCTTGAATAGCCTTCTCTTCTGCAAGCTAATCTACAACTGTAAGTCACAACAATACTAATACCCCACCACCCAGCCCCTGCTCGACCACTGTTTTTTATGTTTCATCCAATCAGAGGCCACATCAGCCACCTTGAATCCTGAAATCTAACAGTCTGTCTTTTAATATAAAGTATACTCCCTATTCATCACTCCCCCAAAGAAGCAACAGAGATGACCCCATGGAACTGAATTTAAGTTATAACCAGTATTTTCTCAGCCAATCAGAAGCCATGATGGCCATCTTGAATCCTGAAATCTTTAAACTCAGCTTTTTACAACAATTCCTGAAACTCAAAGTTGATCATTTGATGTTTAGTATATCACCTATGTATCACTCCCACAAAGTATCAACAAAGATCGCCTCTAGAACTCAAGTTGTAACTTTTGTTGCCTCAGCCAATCAGAGGCCATGGTCGCCATCTTGCATCCCAAAAATTAAAAGTTGACCACTTGGTATAAAATATGTGCCTTATGTATCACTCCCAGAAAGTTTCACTATAATTGGTCACAGAACTTTTCGAATATTTGACTGGACAGAGCTTGAAGTGACTAAGCACAAAAATGGGAATAACTGTGGGGCAAAAGTCAAAACAGAAATACATGTATCAGGTGCACAAGTATGTGATGTACAGATCATGCATATAATGTTCTGTTGATATTAACTTATTACTTTAGGAGTTTGTCCAGACAAGATTTTATCAATGGACTGCAGACAGAGGGACAAGATGATTCCAGTATAACATCCACACCCTCCCAACTTTGTTGCAAAGGGTATAAAAAAAAGTCTTTTTTTCACTTTTAAAGAAAGAAGCCAAAAAAGGAAATAATGAGAAACCTGTCACATACTGAATATCATTTTACATGTTCAGAGAGATTATTTTCACTTTCCTTAATTTTCTATTTTATCATCTGTCGATTCAGAGTCTATGTTGGTTATATAGACAACCACAAGTGCCTGGTATTTGATATCCTTCAAATTTGTTTGTATTAGTAGATGTTAATCTTTATCAAATGAAAGGTTTCAGTCTTTATATGGAAGTTACTTGTGAGTTTTTGTAATAACTGACCTATCCGTCTACTCTGGACAATAACATTGCAGATTTACTACAAAGTACTGTCTGTATCTTACCTGGAACTCAGTAGACAGTTTTTTCTCAATCCATTCTGTTATGTGTGTGAGAGTCAGTTCTCTAGCGCCAACCTTCGGTTTAGCAACTAGTTGAAGCTTCGGACTGCCTCTGAATCCATACCTGAGGCAAAACATTATAAAATTCATTCAGTTTGCACAGAATAAAATAGCCTTCTATTGTTTTATGAGTATATGCTAGTTTTTGAATCATGTTGAAATATCAATTTGTTAATAGAGGGTTAGAAATTTGACAGCCATGTTCCCAGATAGTACAAATATAGTGTCCTTACCTACCCTAGTTTGTATATAGGAGAGGAAGAAATTTGACAGCCATGGTCACAGACTGTATGCTTACCTATCATAAGCTGTATGTAAGAGGAGGGAGAATGTTGATAGCCATAGTCCCAGACAGTATCCTAACTTACCACAGTCTGTCTGTGGGAGGGGGAGGAATATTGATAGCCATGGTCCCAGACAGTATCCTAACTTACCACAGTCTGTCTGTGGGAGGGGGAGGAATGTTGATAGCCATGGTCCCAGACAGTATCCTAACTTACCACAGTCTGTCTGTGGGAGGGGGAGGAATGTTGATAGCCATGGTCCCAGACAGTATCCTAACTTACCACAGTCTGTCTGTGGGAGGGGGAGGAATGTTGATAGCCATGGTCCCAGACAGTATCCTAACTTACCACAGTCTGTCTGTGGGAGGGGGAGGAATGTTGATAGCCATGGTCCCAGACAGTATCCTAACTTACCACAGTCTGTCTGTGGGAGGGGGAGGAATGTTGATAGCCATGGTCCCAGACAGTATCCTAACTTACCACAGTCTGTCTGTGGGAGGGGGAGGAATGTTGATAGCCATGGTCCCAGACAGTATCCTAACTTACCACAGTCTGTCTGTGGGAGGGGGAGGAATGTTGACAGCCATGGTCCCAGACAGTATCCTAACTTACCACAGTCTGTCTGTGGGAGGGGGAGGAATGTTGACAGCCATGGTCCCAGACAGTATCCTAACTTACCACAGTCTGTCTGTGGGAGGGGGAGGAATGTTGATAGCCATGGTCCCAGACAGTATCCTAACTTACCACAGTCTGTCTGTGGGAGGGGGAGGAATGTTGATAGCCATGGTCCCAGACAGTATCCTAACTTACCACAGTCTGTCTGTGGGAGGGGGAGGAATGTTGACAGCCATGGTCCCAGACAGTATCCTAACTTACCACAGTCTGTCTGTGGGAGGGGGAGGAATGTTGATAGCCATGGTCCCAGACAGTATCCTAACTTACCACAGTCTGTCTGTGGGAGGGGGAGGAATGTTGATAGCCATGGTCCCAGACAGTATCCTAACTTACCACAGTCTGTCTGTGGGAGGGGGAGGAATGTTGATAGCCATGGTCCCAGACAGTATCCTAACTTACCACAGTCTGTCTGTGGGAGGGGGAGGAATGTTGATAGCCATGGTCCCAGACAGTATCCTAACTTACCACAGTCTGTCTGTGGGAGGGGGAGGAATGTTGATAGCCATGGTCCCAGACAGTATCCTAACTTACCACAGTCTGTCTGTGGGAGGGGGAGGAATGTTGATAGCCATGGTCCCAGACAGTATCCTAACTTACCACAGTCTGTCTGTGGGAGGGGGAGGAATGTTGATAGCCATGGTCCCAGACAGTATCCTAACTTACCACAGTCTGTCTGTGGGAGGGGGAGGAATGTTGATAGCCATAGTCCCAGACAGTATCCTAACTTACCACAGTCTGTCTGTGGGAGGAGAAATGTTGACAGCCATGGTCCCAGACAGTATCCTAACTTACCACAGTCTGTCTGTAAGAGGGGGTAGAATATTGATAGCCATGGTCCCAGACAGTATCCTAACTTACCACAGTCTGTCTGTGGGAGGGGGTAGAATATTGATAGCCATAGTCCCAGACAGTATCCTAACTTACCACAGTCTGTCTGTAAGAGGGGGTAGAATATTGATAGCCATAGTCCCAGACAGTATCCTAACTTACCACAGTCTGTCTGTGGGAGGGGGAGGAATGTTGACAGCCATGGTCCCAGACAGTATTCTAACTTCCACAGTCAACTCTATTGGTGTGTTGGAAACCTCTTCCATTTTCTTCTTGATGTACTTGATCTCTGTAGCACTTTGGAAATATTTGGACTGTGTGATCTTTCCCAGATAGCCCATAATCTTCCTGCTGGCTTTACCTCCTCGTGCACTACAAAAAAATATAATTTTAATGAGTAGTAGCATTGTACTGTCTGAATGAGTGGTAATATTTTATGGAGTAGTAACATTGTAATGCTTGTGTAGTAAATTTGCACAGTCTGAGGAAAGTGGCATATTTTTTTTATGTTATAAGGAAATAGAAATATTATAGCTAATTGTGGTACTGATTATAGGCTAAAATGCCAGAAGAGTTGTAAAAATTTATTTTGGAAAGATGTGCTATTAAGTTGGTGCAAGCTAGCTGAAAAAGTTGTAAATTTTGGAAACAAAAAGNGGGAATATTGATAGCCATGGTCCCAGACAGTATTCTAACTTACCACAGTCTGTCTGTGGGAGGGGGAGGAATGTTGACAGCCATGGTCCCAGACAGTATTCTAACTTCCACAGTCAACTCTATTGGTGTGTTGGAAACCTCTTCCATTTTCTTCTTGATGTACTTGATCTCTGTAGCACTTTGGAAATATTTGGACTGTGTGATCTTTCCCAGATAGCCCATAATCTTCCTGCTGGCTTTACCTCCTCGTGCACTACAAAAAAATATAATTTTAATGAGTAGTAGCATTGTACTGTCTGAATGAGTGGTAATATTTTATGGAGTAGTAACATTGTAATGCTTGTGTAGTAAATTTGCACAGTCTGAGGAAAGTGGCATATTTTTTTTATGTTATAAGGAAATAGAAATATTATAGCTAATTGTGGTACTGATTATATGCTAAAATGCCAGAAGAGTTGTAAAAAATTATTTTGGAAAGATGTGCTATTAAGTTGGTGCAAGCTAGCTGAAAAAGTTGTAAATTTTGGAAACAAAAAGGTAAATATTCTCAAATCACCCATTTGGTATAATAAATCAATAAAAATACAAAACAAGAGTATATTTTATAGGGAATGGTATAGGAAAGGGGTAACAATAGTTTATGACTTAATTAAAGAAAGAAGAAATAAATTGTTTTACAGCCATCAAGAGTTT